GGTGGTGCGTGCCTGTAATCCCAGCTACTCAGGAGGCTGAGGCAGGAGAATTGCTTGAACCCAGGAGGCGGAGGTTGCGGTGAGCCGAGATCGCGCCATTGCACTCCAGCCTGGGTAACAAGAGCGAAACTCCGTCTCCAAAAAAAAAAAAAAGAAACTAGTGGGCTGATCACCTTTCTATGTGTATGATGACTGGCTGTGTGTTCTGGCCTCTTCTTCCCCCATTTTTCTGAGCTGTAGTCTCCCCTTCTGATTTCATAGCAGTTCTTCCCACATCTGCTTTAAAGAGCAGCTCAGAGGTACAGGCCAGACTGCACAGGCCTAGTCGCGGCTCTCCCACTCCCCAGCTGCATGGCCTGGGACAAGTTACTCAGCCACTCTGTGCCTCAGTTTCCTCACCCATAAGATAAGGCAGTGACTGGGTACGGTGGTTCATGCCTGTAATCCCTGCACTTTGGGAGGCCAAGATGGGTGGATCACTTGAGGTCAGGAGTTCGAGACCAGCCTGGCCAACAGGGTAAAACCCCATCTCTACTAAAATACAAAAAATTAGCTGGGCGTGGTGGCAGGTGCCTGTAATCCCAGCTACTGGGGAGGCTGAGGCAGGAGAGTCACTTGAACCCCGGAGGCGGACGTCACAGTGAGCTGAGATCGCACCACTAAACTCCAGCCTGGGCGACAGTGGTAACGGTGAGAGACTCCATCTAAATAAAAAAAGAAATGGGGCAGTGGTAGCACCTGACCCAGGGCTGCTGTGAGACCCCCCCCAGGGCTGATGCAGATGTGGTGCAGAGGGCCAGGTCAGGGTATACACGCCAGTTCCCACTGGCCTTAGGCCCTGTCCACTGCTCCCAGGGCCACGGCTGAGCCCTTCCACTTCTTATGGAGAAAAGTTTTTGTGGTATCTTCTTTGGTAATTCTTTTTCTTGTTGATGTTCACCTACAGTTCTGTGCATTTTTTCAGATCTGATGAGCAAATTTCTTTAATTTGCCATGTCAAACTTGTTAATCTTTTCCTTGGTGATTTATGCTTTTTGTGTCTCACTTTAAACCCAGCCTATAAGAACCAAAGGGTGCAGGTGCTCCCGGCAGTCCTGCGAGGCTTGCCGACCCCTGGCGCTCCATGCTTGGGCAACCATCTCACACCCTTTTCTTGCCACAAACCCCTCATCACAATGGGCTAACAACCTTGCCGAAGAGGAGCCTAAGACCACTGGAACCCACACCTAAGCTCTGTGATTCCCACACTCCCCACCTGGCTCCCGTGTAGCCAGTGGTCCCCAGAAAGCCTCCCTCTGGCACCGACCCTGCAGCAGGGTCCTGTCCCAACCCTGTAAGAGCAAAGGCCCCGAGGAGCATTATCCAGACAAAACATCTCCAGCTGTACTGTCATCCCTTCACAAGGCCACTGGCCACCTTCTAGCCCTGCCTTCAGGGTCACCAGCACCCCCAGGAGCTAACCCAATGGTCGACTCAGGCCCTGTGGGACTCTCATGAGAAGCTCACCAGAATCTGTGATGACAGATTAACAGAGGAGCTGGCGCCTTTGAGTCTGGTACAGGAATGAGGATGATCTTTAGCTGCCGAGCCTCCAACAGCATCCTGCAAAACTCTGCTCACCACTAATAACTTGTGGGAATGTGTTGGGATTTTTATATAAACAATTTATTAAATGAAGACCAAAAACCTTTGGTTTCTTCCATTCCTTATTTATCTGGGTGGTTGATCGTAGGGTTTTTTTTGAGACAGTGTTTCGGTCTGTCACTCAGGCTGGAGCGTAGGGACACATGCTTAGCTCACTGCAGCCTCAACCTTCTGGGCTCAAGTGATCCTCCCACCTCAGCCTCTCAAGTAGCTTGGAATACAGGTGTGTGCCACTGTACCTGGCTAATTTTATGCTATTTTTTAGAGACAGAGGTCTCACCATGACACCCAGATTGGTTTCAAACTCCTGGGCTCAAGCGATCCAACCACCTCGGCCTCCCAAAGTGCTGGAATTACAGGTGTGGGCCACCATGCCCGGCCTGAATTTTTAGTAAGAATCAACAAGGACAGTGGCCTTGTGGTTTTCCTTCTTATGTCGATCCGTGTGAGGGTCCATCCTCCCAATGTGGAGGTGGCCTCTCACTCTGGGGGTGACCCCCCCCTCAGAACACAGCTAGTCCCTGTGCCAGGCAATATGGATTTTGTTCTATGGTCAGCAATCACAGCGGGGTATGCAAGGTGATAGGAACCTGCTTTGCTCCAAGTTCTGGGGTATGAAGGGTCACCATACCCCAGCAAGGGCACCCGAAACCATCTCAGACTCGGGTCCAGCAGCAGGGGCATGGAGGAGGGCAGACTCTGAGTGACGATGGCCCTAGGTCTTTTTTGTGGTGATGCTCAGGTTATAAAAAGAATTTGGGGCTGGGCACAGTGGCTCAAGCCTGCAATCCCAGCACTTTGGGAGGCCGAGGTGAGCAGATCACCTAAGTTCAGGAGTTTGAGACCAGCCTGGCCAACATGGTGAAATCCCGTCTCTACTGAAAATACAAAAATTAGCCAGGCATGGTGGTGGGTACCTGTAATCCCAGCTACTAGCGAGGCTGAGGCAGGAGAATCACTTGAATCTGGGAGGCAGAGGTTGCAGTGAGCTGAGATAGCGCCACTGTACTCCAGCCTGGGTGACAGAGTGAGACTCTGTCTCAAAAAAAAAAAAAAAAAAGAATTTCGAAACTGTCATTTTTGCTTCATTTCCCTTCAGGACTGGGAGAGCCCACTGTGGAGCTGAGAAGGACTGCCCAGGGACTGGCGCTCTCCCAGGGCACTCGCTGCCCGGCTTTCAGAGGTGGCTGCACTGGGCACGCAGTACCTTGGTGGTTCTTGCTGGCCCCTGCAGTCCCTGAGCTGCCCCTCACTGTGTCAGCACCATCCCTCATCCTCCCTTCCAAGGTCCCCACACCTCCCCTCGCCATCCCCCCACAGTCCCCTGTGGTCCCTGCACCACCCCTTGCTGTCCCCACATCTGTTCTCCTCCCCTCACCATCCCCCCCACAGTCCCCTGTGGTCCCCACACCACCCCTTCCTGTTCCCACATCTATTCTCCTCCCCTTACCACTGGGCTTGTTTCTCCCTTTTCTCTTGATTAGGCAACAGCTTAACTATTTAATTCACTTTTTTCAAAGAACTAGGTATAAAACATGTTTTGCCAATTGCTTACTTTCTAATGCATTAGTTTCTGTGTTTCCTGCCTTGCTCAGGTCAGGGCAGGTGAGAAGAGGACCACAGCAACGATAAAAATTGCAACGGCCTGACACATACAGTGAGACGGGAGGGCTCAGCTCCCACCTCCCGCCCTGCAGAGGCCACAGAAGCCACAAAGGGTCAGGTCGCACAGCATTGAGATTCCAGTGGAACCAGCAGGCATGCCCACCCCCTTGCTCTTTAATGGAAATGGTTATAACTTTGTTTCTAGACTGTATTTGGTTCTCTTTTCACACTGGCTCTGTCCTCACAGGACCCTGACGTTTCTCGCTTTCACCTCTTTATCCTGCTATTTCTATCCTCTATCTCATCAATCCAATTACGTTACTTTCTGCTCTAATGCTCCTTTTATTTAGGCTGATGTGCATGTTTTGTGTTGTAACTGACACTGCTGGTCCTGAGCCTATGGAGAGCTGCTGGCCCCACACCAGAGCTCAGACCCTGCACTCCAGGGGAGCAGTGCTTCCACCGCCATGCACCCCAGGCCAGAGCCATCACCATGCAGCCTGACTGGGACACAACACTGAGTAGGACACTTCAACCCAGCCCATTTACTAGGCTAATGACTCAGCTTAAGGGCTCCCCAGTCCAACAGAAAGAATAACTTTGAACCCTACAACTACATGAGGATAAACCATGGTTACAAGTTCTCAGGAGAGGGGATTTAAAGGAAATTCTAAACAAAGCAGACTACCTCCCAGGGTGCAAAGTGGAAGGTTCCTCATCAATCACCTGTTTGCTGAGGAGGGGCCTTGGAGGGTCTGATATAGGCGGGCTCTGGCCCAATGCAAAGAAAGGCCTTGTCTCCCATGTGAAATCAAGGCAGGTAGGTGCCCGGGGCCAATGGAGACCCCTAACCCTCACTTCTCTTGGTCTCTGTGTCCCTAGGTTTCTCCTTCTGAGGTCAGAAGTTGACCTCGGATTGGTGAGGTCAACTCAGCAGCATTCAAGGTATTCTGTAGTGGGAGTGTTTTTCGGGGTAGCAGACCACCATATTGCCAGAAGCAGAAAGCCTACCCCTATTGTGTTATTAGGTTGTGATTTTTTTTTTTTTTTTTTTTTTTTAAGACAGAGTCTTGCTGTGTCACCAGGCTGGAGTGCAGTGGCTTGATCTCAGTTCACTGCAGCCTCCACCTCCCAGGCTCAAGCAATCCTCTTGCCTCAGCCTACCATGACTGGCAAATATTTTAAAATATTTTTTGTAAGCCGGGCGCGGTGGCTCAAGCCTGTAATCCCAGCACTTTGGGAGGCTGAGGCGGGTGGATCATGAGGTCAAGAGATTGAGACCATCCTGGTCAACGTGGTGAAACCCCGTCTCTACTAAAAATACAAAAAATTAGCTGGGCATGGTGGCACGTGCCTGTAATCCCAGCGACTCAGGAGGTTGAGGCAGGAGAATGGCCTGAGCCCAGGAGGCGGAGGTTGCGGTGAGCCGAGATCGCGCCATTGCACTCCAGCCTGGGTAACAAGAGTGAAACTCCGTCTCAAAAAAAAAAAAAAAAAAAAAAATTTTTTTGTAAAGATGGGGTCATACCGTGTTGCCCAGGCTGGTCTTGAACTCCTGGGCACAAGTGATCCTCCCACCTTTGCCTCCCAAAGTACTAGGATTACAGGCATGAGCCACCATACCCAGCTGGTTTTTATTTTTTTGTTTGAGACAGTCTCATTCTGTCACACGGGCTGGAGTACAGTGGCACAATCTTGGCTCACTGCAGCCTCCACCTCCCAGGCTCACCCAATCCCTCTGTTTCAGCCAGAGTAGCAGGGACTACAGGCATGCACCACCATGCCTGGCTAATTTTTTGGTATTTTTAGTAGAGATGGGGTTTCGCCATGTTGGCCAGACCGGTCTTGACCTCAAGTGATCTGCCTGCCTTGGCCTCCCAAAGTGCTGGGATTACAGGCATGAGAGACCGCAACCGGCCCCTGGGGCATGCTTCTGAAACATCTCTTGACCTCCCGTCTCTGTTAATTCTTTCTCGGGTGCCTCTGACTGGAATGCAGGCTTCAGGGTTCAGCCTGCTAGTTTGTTCTTCTCTTTCTCTCCTCCTTTCCATATTTTTTACTTTTTCCTCTATTTTTTGGAGATTTTCACAACTTTCTCTTCCAATGTTTATATTATTTTTTCCATTTCTATTATGGCATCTTTAATTCTCAGAAGGTCAATTTTATTTTCTGAATGTGGCTTCTTCATGGTGACACCTCTTGTCCCATGAATGTGTGGTTACCACTGATTTCCCTGAGAATATTAATCAGGGATTTTCATTCTCTGTTATTTTCTTCTCCCTGAACCACCTACATCCCCAATTAGTGTCTCTTTCTTTTGCTGCTGCCTTTCCTACTGGAGGGGTTCCTTGGCTGGGAGGAATTACTGGCTGCCTGCCCTGCTGGACAGTGTGGCCAGGCCAGCCACGCCCCCACCACTGGGAGGCTCCTCACCTTCTAGCTGCAGTGCCCTGAGGGCACTCCTGTCCTTGGCACAGTGCCTGTCCCAGCTGGACCTGAGCCTTCCGCAGTGGACACAGGCCTGCTACCCCCCACCACTAGGTCTCACCCGGTTGATATGGGCTCTGCTGGCCCCAGGCTGCTCCAGCCAGCAGGACCACCACCCCCTCCAGATGCATACAGGGAACGCTCCATTTGTGGTGGGGAGCACACGTCCCACACGAGGAGGCCCCACAGAATCCCCACTGGCTGAACCCACGTGTTTGACACAGAAAATGCCAACATGGTAGGACCCGGAGTAGCTGCAGGTGACCTATGAAAGTAAGCAAGAGGTGTTCAGAACTGCAAGTCAGTTTTTGCTTAGAGCCTCAGCAGTTGAAGGTATCAAGGCCATGTACTTCCCAGAGGAGACACAGAGACACAGGGCTTAGCAGGCGCCCCAGCTGCCCCATCCTCAAGTCTCTGCCCTGTAGCCTGGACAGCTCGTTCTGTGTTCTGGGTACTTTAGCTGAGTCCACACCCACACCCACTTCCACCCTGTTCCTTCATACCTGGCTCAGCGTGCAGCTGCCCCCATCCTGTCACCAATCTCACTTTTAGCCAAAACTGGCCGCAAGGTTACCATCCCTTCTACCCAAGGGGCTCTGCTCTCACCCACAGGTGAGAAAGAGCCTATGAAGGAGTACCCCAATGATGAAAGCATCCAACAAAGGGGAGGGCCAGGAGAGATGGAGCAGTGCAGGGGCTAGGGGGAGGGCGGTGGAGCCCTGTGATCTGAACCATGAGCAGAGCACGCGGGCCCAAATGCTCCAAACCAACCCTTCTGCCAATGGAGCCCAGCCCAACTCTGTAGCCACACCCTCTATGCTCAGAAAACATGCCCTGCCCAGGCCCTACCAGGCCCCTCCCCAGTCACCGGGCCCTCCCACACCAGCTGCCTCCCCCGCCTGGAACCAACAAACCCCTGCCCCGCCCCCCAGGCCTGGGTCTTTACAAGAGGCGGGTCCTCCCAGCCATCTTCTGGACACAGGACATTGGGAACAGGAGGCCATGCGCTGAGGGCACTAAGGGCACCTCAGGATCTTCAATCTCCACACCTCCTTCCAACAGGAATGTCCTCCAATCCCACCGCCCACGCCCGACTCTCAGGGGCAGCTGAAACCAAGGTCCAGGCCCATGACATGCCTGTGGTTCCCTGCCAGGCACACAAAGGGTTATGGGCATTGCTGCCAGGAAAAGACTCCTGGGAGAGGGTGGGGGTGAATGAATGTGCCCCTATCCTCTGGATCCTTAGATGCCCAGGGAGTGGCCACTTTTCTAGCCTGGAATGGGAAGGAAAACAGAAAGTCATGGCTTTGAGAAAATCTCTTCCTGCCCCCCGACCATGTCCAGGCCTCGGTGGACCCACAGTGTAAGGTAAGGGGGCTCCCCAGGAGCAGAGAGAAACAAGGGACAGAGGTTGTGCAGCCCCACATGGGTCCCTCCAGCCAGCAGCCTCAGCAAGGGGGCCCCTCCTTCTAACAGCCCCCCTTCCTGCAGCCTAAAAGGGCCCACCTGCCCCCACAAATCAGGTATGCTTGCGCACAGCCCCCCACAAATGAGCACTTCAGACAGAAGGTGACAAGGCTGCCTCTTACCAGAGCAGAACGCCATGCGCACCGTGTCCTGCTTGGCCATGCCCAGCACAGGCAGCAGGGAGCTCAGGACGGATGGCAGGAAGGGAACTACTCCGAAAGCTGTGAGAGAGGACACTGTCAGAGGCCTCTGCCAAGCCTTCCAGTGCCCTGTGCTCCTCCTACGGGCACCCTGGGACCCTCCAGCTGGGGGCAGGCTGTGCGTCACCTACCGTTGGCCACCGAGAGGCTGGCGAGTGTGTGCAGCACGGCACAGTGTGGCAGGGCCCCGGGCTGCAGCCTGCGCAGCAGCTCCTCCATCACCTTGCTGATGAACTGCCTTCCCACGGCCACCAGGACGCCACTTGCTGCCTGCTGCCAGTCCCCGACCAGGTCCTGAACCGAAAACACCAGCAGGTAGAACCTCTCCCTGAAATCTCCCGACAGGCGGGACCAAGACATTCTGCCCTCAGTCGCTGCCAGCCTCGGACAAGCACCCAGTTTTCAGTGTCCCCAGAAAGTACAGGTCAGAGAAGGGGGCAGGCACAGCCTCTCTTGGCTGCTGCCAAGAGACCCGACACACACAGGAGAAGCAGAGCCCTGGTGAGACGGGGCTGCGCTCAGTACCCTGAGAAAGTTAGGCCCAGCAGAGCCCTGCACCAACCCCAATGCCGGGCACAGCCCTAAGCCCCGGCCGCACGCACACCACTGCCCTGTGTGTGCTGAGTTTTGGCAACTTGCTCTCTGCTTCAGTTGCTGCCTCTGAAAATCACAGGGGACTATCCCCCGCCCTGGCAGTGTGGTGCATGGGACCAAGGGGCCTCTGCTAGCCCAAGGCAGCCAAACACCACACACCCTACACTCTCAAGGCTGCTGGGTAGAAAGGCCAAGAAACAGCTTCCCTTCCCAAGCCAGAACTGAGTCTGCGAGGCCAGAAGGCCTGCTGCATACCTTCATCTTGGTCATCTCGCTGCAGGCCAGGAGGATGATGGTGCTGGCTGTGTCCTTGTCCAGCTCACTGGCACGACTGCTCAGGACCCTCTCCATAGCCCTCAGGACTGCCGCTCGGTATGGGTGTGCCAGCTGCGGAGAGACGCCATCCAGGACAGTCCCAGGTGAGCCCTGAGCACAGACGCTCTAAGCGCCTGTTGCTGTTTCAAGACAAGACAGCACAAATCTCTCTGCCTCAAGTGGAGGAGGGGAGGGGCATACCTGATCACTCCCAACGCCCTAAGAGCCGACCTGCAAGCCTCATACTCTCAGCCCATCTCCAGAAGGGTGGGCGGTTATCCTGTGCCAGACAACCAACATACAGAGGGCAAGGCGGGGGGCTTCTCTCCTCCAGGGGCGGCCAGTAGGGTCTCCCAGTCACAAGATGCTCCCAGGACCCTTCTGCCTCCTCACCCCACCCTCCCCTGTTAGAGGAGGACATCTTCCTGTCCCCAGCTCAGCAACCCTGGCCTCAGTCTACCACTGCTAGGCTAGTGCTTGCATCCAGCGGCCCCTCCCCAAGGCTGCTTAAGGAATAGCACTGCCTACCGCCCCACCTTCTGCCACGTCCCCAGGCCACCTCTGCCTCCCAGGTTAACCCTCCGCAGAGTCCCGCCACCTGCCTTCATCCTCCCCATAAACAGCTCTCCTGTCAGCCACTACCTCTGTAAATCCAACAAGCACGCACCATTCTTGCCTCAACTGGGGACACTCCAAGGACTTGGACTGGCTGCACTAACCACAAAGCTGGGGCCTGCAGAGGCACACAGCAGAGCAGGCCACTGCCCAACCCAGGAAAAGGCCCTGGGGTGCCCGGCCACCCTGTGGTGACAGCCCCTCCCCAATGATGCACCCACCACAGCCCCTCCCTCCACCACACTGACAGCAGCCTGCACCAGCAGCATGGCACCAGGAAGGGCAGACACAGGGCGGCCCAGCGGCCCACAGGCACTGTGATCCATTCTCACATGGCTATAAAGAAATACCTGAGGTCGGGCACATAGACCAGCCTGGCCAACATGGTAAAACCCTGTCTCTACTAAAAAAAAAAGCAGGCCAGGAACAATGGCTCACACCTGTAACCCTAGCACTTTGGGGGCTGACGCAGGTAGATGATGAGGTCAGGAGTTCAAGACCAGCCTGGCCAATATAGTGAAAGCCCATCTCTATCAAAAATACAAAAATTAGCAGGGCATGGTGGCAGGTGCCTGTGGTCCCAGCTACTCAGGAGGATGAAGCAGAAGAATCTCTTGAACTTTGCACTCCAGCCTGGCAACAGAGCAAGACTCCATCTCAAAAACAAACAAACAAAAAATTCATCATAGATTTCATTTATATTTGGTAAAAAAAAAAAAAAAAAAAAAAAGCTAAGTGTGGTGGTGTGTGCCTGTAGTCCCAGCTACTTGAGAGATTGTGGCAGAAGGATCTCTTGAGCCCACGAGTTCAAGGTGCAGTAAGCTATGATCACACAACTGCACTCTAGCCTGGGTGATGGAGTGAGATGCTGACTTAGAAAAAAAAAAGAAATTATTCTCTAATATAGAATTTAAATACACTCTGCCTGCAGAAGCCTTAAAGGAAAGGGAGTCTTGTGTAGCCAGTGGGCAGAGTGGCTGGCAAAGTGAGACGGATCCCCCACCAGACTAGCTCTTACCTCACTGTGGCACCGACACCCGACGATGGGAAATCTTTTTTTTTTTTTTTTTTAAAGATGGGGTTTTACCATGATGGCCAGGCTTGTCTTGAACTCCTGACCTCAGGTGATCCACCCACCTCAGCCTCCCAAAGTGCTAGGATTACAGGCGTGAGCCACCGCGCCTGGCGAGGATGGGAAACCTAACGCTGAAAATCAACCCCAGCTGAAGCTCTTTCCCTGGAGAACTGGCAGGTTCCCCATGAACACAGTGTTCCATGCTGAGGCTGGTGACCTACACTGGCTATTTTCAGAAACAAAAGTCATTCCCACTTGTGGGCCTGGGGATAAACCATGATTGTTTGTAACTCGTTCCGCAGAGCAGCGGTGAGCAAGCCTGTCTGCTGCTACTGATGTAGCAGATAGGAGTGGATCCCTAGAGAAATCCCACCTCCAAGCCAAAGACAGTTTAAAGCCTGAAAGCCAAGCTACAAGTCAAATCCTCAGACCAGACTAAGAACCTGTCTTTCTGTTGGGCGTGCTTTCCTCTGGTTGATCTCCACCCTTCACCTGTTTTACATATATCTACCCTTTCTAATTGGTTTTCTACACATCATGCCCGCCTTTCAGTGGTGCCTTTGCTTTCACCTCTTTTGCATACTCACAAACCAATCAGTACATACTCCTCATCCTGGCCTATAAAGATTCAGACTCAGTTGGTATAGGGAGATGGCCTAGCTTTGGCAAAGAGACAACCTGACTTTGGGGAAGATGACCTGTCCTTCCCATCCCCTCTCCAGCTCCCCTCTCTACTAAGAGCCATTTTCATCGCTCAATTAAATTCTTCTCTAGCCTCTTCACCCTTCAATGTCCAGTGTATCTTCATTCTCCTTGGGCATGGTACAAGAGCTCAGGAACCACCAAATATGGGTACAAGCTATAACACAGGTGAGCTGGGGCACATGAGCGTGGCTGAGCAACGCCCAGGCGGAGCATCGCTGGGGTTTGCAAAGTGACCAAGAAAACGAATCCTACGTCACCAGCACTTTGGGAGTGCAAGGCAGGCAGACTGCTTGAGGTCAGGAGTTTGTGACCAACCTGGCCAACATGGCGAAACTCCATCTCTACTAAAAATACAGAAAAGAATTAGCCAGAAATGGTTGCATGTGCCTGTAGTCCCAGCTACTTGGGAGGCTGAGGCACAAAAACTGCTTGAACCCAGGAGGTTGAGGTTGCAGTGACCTGAGATTGCACCACTGCACTCCAGCTTGGGCGACAGAGCGAGACTCTGTCTCAAAAAAAAAAACAACAAAGTATCACACTTTTTACAGCCCTGCCTCCATTCACAGTTGGAACAGGCCCACTCAGGAAAGTTCTCTGAGAAAAGCGAACACGGTAATGAGCCCCTTTAAATAAAAACACTGTTGATGAAAAAGCTAAACTGTCAAATACTTAACAAGGTTTATTCTGTGCCAGTACGAGTGACCATGGCCCAGGGAACATCTGAAAAAGTACACCCAAGATGGTTAGGTTAGTTTGGTTTTATACATTTTAGGGGACAAAATTACAGGCAAAGACATAAATCAATACATAGAAGGCATACATGGGTTCAGCACAGAAAGGTGGGCCATCTAGGGGAATGCTGATAGGGCATAGGTGGATCCAAAGATTTTCTGATTGGCAATTGGTTGAGTTAAACTGGTGGGTCGCAGTGGCTTACACCTGTAATCCCAGCACTTTGGGAAGCTGAAGCAGGTGGATCACAAGGTCAGGAGTTCGAGACCAGCCTGACCAATATGATGAACCCCATTTTTACTAAAAATACAAAATTTAGCCAAGTGTGGTGGAGCACGCCTGTAATCCCAGCTACTTGGGAGGCTGAGGCAGGAGAATAGCTTGAACCTGGGAGGCAGAGGTCACAGTATGCCAACATCCTGCCACTGCACTCCAGCCTGGGTAACAGAGCAAGATTCTATCTCAATAAAAAAAAAAAAAAAAGAGACAGAGTTAAATTTTGCCTAAGGAGTTGAAGTCGGCAGAAATAAATGCCTGAATTAAAGGCTGCGGTGAAAGTCAAGGTTCTTGTTACGCAGATGAAGCCTCCAGGTAGCAAGCTTCAGAGATAATGGTAAATGTCTCTTTAGACCTTAAAGGTGTCAGACTCGCTCTCTTCCACAGGAGGCTTACATGCCGCCGTTTGTGCTGCCACCATGTCTCTAGTGAGCCCTGAAAAGTTCCAGCATATTTTGCAAGTACTCAACACCAACATTGATGGGCAGCAGAAAATAGCCTTTGCCATCACTGCCATTAAGGGTGTGGGCTGAAGATACGCTCATGTGGTGTCGAGGAAGGCAGACATTGACCTCACCAGGAGGGCAGGAGAACTCACTGAGGATGAGGTGGAATGTGTGATCACCATTATGCAGAATCCACGCCAATATAAGATCCCAGACTGGTTCTTGAACAAACAGAAGGATGTAAAGGATGGAAAGCATAGCCAGGTCCTAGCCAATGGTCTGGACAACAAGCTCCATGAAGACCTGGAGCAACTGAAGAAGATTAAGGCCCATAGAGGGCTTTGCCACTTCTGGGGCCTTCGTGTCTGAGGACAGCACACCAAGACCACTGGCTGCCGTGGCCACACCAAGACCACTGGCTGCCGTGGCCACACCGTGGGTGTATCCAAGAAGAAATAAGTCTGTAGGCCTTGTCTGTTAATATACCGAAAATAAATAAATAAATAAATAAAGGTGTTAGACTCTTAGTTAAATCTCTTCTGAATCGGAAAAAGACCTGGAAAGGGAAAGAGATTCTTCACAGATGTAAATTTCCCCTACAAAATACGGCTTTGCAGGGCCATTTCAAAATATGTCAAGAATATATTTTGGGGTAAAATACTTCTAGTTTTTCTAGGGCCCACTATCTGTCACGTGATGCTATGCTAGAGTCCAGTCCAGAATTTGGTATCTTATTGTTATGAGGATCTGTTTTGTCAGAGTTCCAATCTCTGATTTAACCTAATGTTGGTTGGTTGTCTAAACTCCAAAAGGGAGCAGGTATAACGAGCTGTGCCCAATCTCCCTTTCTGTCATGGCCTGGAATTCAGTTTTTCAGGTTGCTCCCGGGTCCCCTTGGACAACAGGATGTTAGAGTAGGCAGCTAGGCAGACATGAACAGGGCAGGAGAGGCCCCCAACCAGGAATGTCAGGCGGTCATCAGGTGATGGTCAGGCAGTTAAGTGTCTCTCTAAAATAATAATTGGTTGTTGCCAGCATCAGGGAAAGACAGTCTCACAATAGACAGAAAACACCTAAAGCTTCTGCACGGGGGAGATAAGAAAAAGAAAGAAAGAAAACACCTAAGGCTGATGATCAGCAGCTTCCTGGTAGGATCTCAGGAGTTGGGTGAATGGGCTCCAGCACGCACACCAAGGTAAAACGGTGGTGTTGAACCAGTATACGGGCTTCCTCTAGAAACATTCAGCCAGTGAGGGAAGAATGCCTCAAGTGAACATGTGCACAACTGCGCACAAAAACTCAAAAGGAACTTCCGGTGGCAGAACACATGCAGGTGCCTGGAGGTGACTCCTGGGAGCGCCTGGGAGCTCTGCACCCCTACCTTTCCCCCACTTCCAGCCCCAGGCGTCTCCTCCACCTGCTGTGCATCCATACCTTCATCACAGCCAGCGTAATAAACCCACTCCTACAATTCACCAAACCTGAGGAGGGGGTTGTGGGAACCCTGATTCATTGCAAGTCAGTCAGAAGCACAGGCCACACGCCTGAAGCTTGCAACTGGCATCGGAAGCGGGACCATCATGTGGAACTGAGCCTTCCACCTGACCTCCAGAGAGATGGTCCCGGAACTGAATTAAGGACACCCAGCCGGTGTCCACTGCACAACTGACTGCTGTTTGCTAGTGCGAAGAAACTCCCCACATTTGGTCACAGACATCTGTGTTGATTGTTGTGTGGTGTGAGAACAGAGGAAACAATGTGAGTTTGAGTTTTTCCTCTCACAGAATTTGAAAATCCAGTTTTATTATTTTTGCTTCTCTTCCCCAAATCCCATCCCTCCCCATGCCCTGATGGCTCCTGAGGAGCCTGTTACCTGTGCTGGACCCTGGCTGACATGCACAAGACTGGACGTGTCTAAAACCACGAGGCCCAGCACCCCTCAGAGGCACAGATCGCATGCTACCAAGTCACGGGCCTCCGCGTTCATAAAAACAGAACCACAAACACAGATGCCAGACAGGAGTTGAAACCTGTAAAGTCCCAGGTGTACCCCAGGACACTGGGCTGACGTCTGAGGCCTTGGGGGGATGTCGTGTCACTTTTCCCCAGTGGCCCATATCTTTCTGGAGAGACACTCAGTGGGCTCTGAAATATGCATGCTATCTAAGCAAGACACAGCCAAGTGAGGTGCAGCTGCAATGAGACCCACAAACAAACGGCAGAAATTGGAGGCAGTGACCTAAACCTCCTGGAGCAGTCTGCAGGAGGAGACAACAGAAGAGGACTAAGGGAAGGGAGGACTAGTGACCTGGGAAGGGTCACAGCCCACAGGGTCAGTGCTTCCAGCTCAGCATGTGTTCACTATAAATATGCAATTTTGAAGGAAGACTTTTTCTAAATTCAGTTTTTAAAAACTGTAAAGGCTAGAAAAGGGGTAAAATCAGAAACAAATTAGGACAAGCATGGAGCAGCTGGGGCTCGGAGGAGGATGTCCCAGACAGAGACCTCAGGAGCAAAGTCCCCCTCAGACCTGCTCTGCCCTCCTGTCTCTCCTTCTCATTCTCCCATGAGGCAGCCATAAAACCTATAAATATTGGCTCACCCAGCACTCAGGGAGGCTGCAGTGGGCAGATCACCTGAGGTCAGGAGTTCAAGACCAGCCTGGCCCACATGGTGAAACCCAGCGTCTGCTAAAAACAAAAATTAGGTGGGCGCGATGGCACGCACCCGTAATCCCAGGTACTCGGGAGGCTGAGGCAGGAGAATCACTTGTACCCGGGAGGCAGAGGCTGCAGGGAGCCAAGATTGCACCATTGCACTCCAGCCTAGGCGATAGAGCGAGACTCCATCTCAAAAACACAAGAACAAAAAAACCTGTAAATATCACTGTAATTTCCCCCACAATTCTGTGTAAAAACTGGTCATAAAGAAATTCTCTGGCTGGGTACGGTGGCTCACACCTGTAATCCTAGCACTTTGGGAGGCTAAGGTGGCGGATCACGAGGTCAGGAGTTTGAGACCAGCCTGACCAATATGGTGAAACCCTGTCTCGAAAAAAAAAAGAAAAAAAAAAAGAAAGAAATTCTCACTGGGTGCTGATGGCTCATGCCTGTGATCCCAGCACTTTGGGAGGCCAAGGCAGGCAGATTGCTTGAGTCCAGGAGTTTGAGACCAGCCTGGCCAACAAGGTGAAACGTGGTCATTACTAAAAGTACAAAAAATTAGGTGGGCATGGTGGCGTGCACCTGTAGACCCAGCTACTTGGGAGGCTGACGCAGAGTGAGCTGAGACCGCACCACTGCACTCCAGCCTGGGCAACAGAGCCAGATTCCGTCTCAAAAAAAAAAAAAAAAAAAAAGGGCTAGGAGCAGTGGCTCACACCTGTAATACCAGCACTTTGTGAGACCGAAGCAGGCAGATCACAAGGTCAGGAGATCGAGACCATCCTGATCCTGGGCAACACGGTGAAACCCCGTCTCTACTAAAAATACAAAAATTATCCGGGTGTGATGGCGCACACCTGTAGTCCCAGTTACTCGGGAGGCTGAGGCAGGAAAATCACTTGAACCAGGGAGTCAGAGGTTGCAGGGAGCCAAGATTGCACCACTGTACTCTAGCCTAGCGACAGAGTGAGACTCAGTCTCAAAAAAAAAAAAAAAAAAAACAACAACAACAAAAACCAGCTAATGGTTAGGCACAATGGCTCACACCTGTAATCCCAGCACTTTGGGAAGCAGAGGTGGGCAGATCAGTTGAGGTCAGGAGTTCAACACCAGCCTGACCAACATGGTGAAATCCTGTCTCTACTAAAAATAGAAAATCAGTCTGGGCGCGGTGGCTCATGCCTGTAATGCTAGCACTTTGGGAGGCTGAGGTGGGCAGATCGTCTGAGCTCAGGAGTTCAACACCAGCCTGGGCAACATGGTGAAACCCCATCTCTACTAAAACACAAAAATTAGCTGGGCGTGGTGGTAAGTACTTGTAATCCCAGCTACTTGGGAGGCTGAGGCAAGAGAACTGCTTGAACCCAAGAGGTGGAGGTTGCAGTGAGCTGAGATCTTGCCACTGTACTCCAGCCTGGGTGATAGAGCCAAATTCCGTCTCAATAAATAAATAAATAATAAATATAAAAATACAAAATTAGCCGGGTGTGGTGGCATGTGCCTGTAATCCCAGCTACTTGGGAGGCTGAGGCAGGAGAATCACTTGAACCCAGGAGACGGAGGCTGCAGTGAGCTGAGATGGTGCCATTGTACTCCAGCCTGGGCTACAGAGTGAGACTCCATCTCAAAAAAGAAAAAAAAAGATAAAGATAATAAATGAATAAATAAATAGTAAGTTAAAAAATAACAAATTTGGCCGGGCGCGGTGGCTCAAGCCTGTAATCCCAGCACTTTGGGAGGCCGAGGCGGGTGGATCACAAGGTCAAGAGATCAAGACCATCCTGGTCAACACGGTGAAACCCCGTCTCTACTAAAACCACAAAAAATTAGCTGGGCATGGTGGTGCGTGCCTGTAATCCCAGCTACTCAGGAGGTTGAGGCAGGAGAATTGCCTGAACCCGGGAGGCGGAGGTTGCGGTGAGCCAAGATCGCGCCATTGCACTCCAGCCTGGGTAACAAGAGTGAAACTCCGTCTCAAAAAAAAAAAAAAAAAAACAAAACAAATTTATTAAAAATTAAAACTAAAAATCAGCTAAGACAGCTGACAGGGGAAGAAAGGAGAGACCCTGCCCCAGAAGTGCCGCCAGGCCATAGCAGTGAGCAGATATTTTCATAGAACTGGGTTATTTGCCTCAGGAGATGGTAGCTGATGACAAGAAATAAATTGTATAGAGGTCCCTTTTTACATATCAAAATGTTAAATAAAACAAAAAAAAAATGGCCTTTTGATACCACAAAAGCCTCTTCCCCTTCCCAGAACAGCCCAAACCACACACGCTGAGAAAAGGTAGAAAGTGCGCAAAACAGTTTCAAACAATGCAGTGCTAATGCTGTTAACGGTGACAGAACCATGAACCAAGGTCGAGGGAAGCCGAAACCGCAGGAGGCGAGAGCCAGCCGGGCCGTGTCTGTCCTGGGGCTCGGGGCAGTGATTTGGCATCCCTGTGGGGCTTCAGAGAGACTTCCCAAGAGGCTCTTGCAGCTCTCCTGAGTAGGCAACGTTTGTGCCAGAGGAAGAACATTCCAGCGCCGCAAGGGAAGGCCCTGGGCCTTCCTGGGCAGCCCCTCCCTGAGGGTGCAGGAGGACCAGCAGCGGAGGGCCCTTGGGAACTCTCTGAGCACTTATCAGTGTTTCTAGTCCCTTGGGTTGATGAGATTCTCTTGGAAACAATCATCGTCCGTCAAGCAGGGACCATGGTCTGCCGCTCAGGCACTGAGCAGAGCCTGGCCATTCAGCTTCCACTTGGTGGGTAAAGGGGGAAGCAAAAAGCCTCAACCAGGAGGATTGAACAACGCCGTGGAGAGAGCCCAGTCCCTCACAATGGGCCCCCAGGCTCTTTGGGGGACGCAGCCATATCTGACACATGACAAGATAAGGAAGGTTACCCATCCTGACATAGGCAGGCGTGAGGTTGCTCAGACATGTGGCCAGCCCTGTCTCTTCCCAAACCAAGTAAGCCCCGAACGACCATGGCCCTGACATTATCATCCCCACCAAGGAGCATGAATACCTTGTCATGCTGCCGCAGGTACTCCTCACAGGCGCGGAGCATCTCCACTGGCCGCACTTCCCCGAGGGAGCACAGGGCACTGCAGACCTGCTCCTGCACCATGGGGTCCTTATCGGTGATGGCGTCCAGCAGGGGGGAGGACAGCTCTGCAGTGACAAAGCCCAGTTAGCGGGTTCAGGCCCAAGCGCCCTCCCCATCACACCTGAGCTGCCACTCCTGGAGTGGACACACCTGTAGCCTGTGAGGATCACGGACACAGAGCAGGAGAGGGTACAGCCACTTTCTCTCCTGTATAACCTCCCTCTGCCTGGACTGCCCACCTGTGCTGCTGCAGGGGACAGGTGCGCTGAGGAGACAAGCTGTGGAGCTGCAGGGCTTAGATTTCAGCTGTCCCTGAGGAGCTGTCTGGCCAGCACACACTATTTAGCCCATCAGGGTTGACAGACACAGAAGACACAGCCTGCCTCCCACACAAGCAGGCAAGAGGTTGTTCTGGTCCTGATCACATGGCCTGAGCATCCTTGAGGACACTGGCTCACTCACTAGCCGGACTCTTCAGGAAGGCTCCCTGAGGGTCTGTGTCCAGACAGCCTGGGACTCCCCATGGTCCCATTGCCCACATGTGGCCCTTGACAGGCAGGTGCTGGGCAGAGGGTCCAAGACCCCAGCAGTAGGAAATACATGAAGGAATAAAAATACAGTCTCATCCCATGGCTCTCAACCCCCACAGACCAGAAGTGAATCAAGGAAATCAATGAATAAATGTAGTGCTCTACAGGCAAAGCCAGGTGGTTCCCTAGCCAGTGACCACTGGCCCCTGCACACAGCAAAGGACAGGCTAAGTATCCCAGAGACTTGTGCCAACCAGCCAACCCACCCCAACAAGACCCTCCAGGCTGGGTTGGGGATGTCCCCCTTCCCTTTTGCTCCAGCAGCACTATACCCGGGCTGCCAATGAGGACATCCCAGAAAGCACCTGCTGGGTCAGATACCTGTGTGTTCAGTGAGTGACTCAGTCTCCCCTCCGGGAAGGGGTTCCTTCCTGAGCAGGAAGCTGGACTTTTAATAGCCCTCCATTTCCAAAGTCCAATAGTTAGACAAACAGACTGATCCAAATCAATGAGATCTGACTGTAGCTAAGGCCACGATTAGCCAGGCTAAGGCCACGATCAGCCAGGCTGAGGCAGGTGGATCACCTGAGGTCAGGAGTTTGATATCAGCCTGGCCAACATGGTGAAACTCCATCTCTACTAAAAATACAAAAATTAGCCAGGCATGGTGGCAGTTGCCTGCAGTCCCACCTACTTGGGAGGCTGAGGCAGGAGAATCGCTTGAACCCAGGAGGCAGAGAGCCGAGATCACGCCATTACACTCCAGCCTGGCCAACAGAGAAAGAATCCGTCTCAGAAAAAAGAAAAATGGTTGATGGCTGGGCACAGTAGCTCCTACCTGTAATCCCAGCACTTTGGGAGGCCGAGGCTGGTGGATCACTTGAGCTCAGGGGTTTGAGACCAGCCTGGCCAACATGGTGAAAATCCATCTCTACAAAAAAAAAAAAAAAAAAAAAAGAAAGAAAGAAAAAAATACAAAAATGAGGGCCTAGTGGCACGCAGCTGTAGTCCCAGCTACTCAGGAGACTGAGGTGGGAGGATCCCTTGAGGCCAGGAGGTAGAGGTTGCAATGAACTGAGATAGCACCACCACACTCCAGCATGAGTGCCAGAGCAAGACCCAGTCTCAAAAAAAAAAAAGAAGATGGAGGCCCTGTAAAGTGGCTCACACTGTAGCCCCAGGGCTTTGTGAAGCTGAGGTGGAAGGATCACTGGAAGCTAAGCATTCAAGACCACACCGAGCAACATAGTGAGACCTCGTCTCTACAAAAACTAATTTTAAAAAATTAACTGGGTGTGGTGGCACATGCTTGTAATCTCAGCTACACAGGAGGCTGAGGTGGGATGATGGCTTGAGCCAAGGAGGTCACTGCACTCTAGCCCGGGCAACAGAGAGACACTGTCTCAAAAAAAAAAAAAAAAATAGCTTGCAGGACACCCTAGTCCCTTTAGTCCCTAAAGCCATGAGATGACACAGCAGCAAGGGACTACATCTATGAGGCAGAGAACAGCCCTCACAGACATCAAATCTGCCGGTGTCTTCATCTGTGACTTCCCAACCGACAGTACTGAGAGAAATAAATTCCTATTATTCATTCATTACCCAATCTAAGATATTTTGTTACAGCAGCCTGAACAGCCTTTGACGACTACTGGTTTTTGTTTTTTCTGATGAAAACCTAGAGAAAACATGTTTATTCAACAGTCACTCCAGGTTGGGCGTGGTGGCTCAAGCCTGTAATCCCAGCACTTTGGGAGGCTGAGGTAGGTGGATCACTTGAGCCCAAAAGTTTGAGATCAGCCTAGGCAACATGACAAAATCTCATCTCTACAAAAAATACAAAAAAATTATCTGGGCATGGTGGCAGGCACCTGTTCTCCCAGCTACTCAGGAGGCTGAGGTGGGAGGATCACCTGAGCTCAGGAGTTTGAGGCTGCAATGAGCCATGATTGCACCACTGTGCTCCATCTTGGGTGACAGTGGAAGACCCTATCTTTAAAAAAAAAAAAAAAAAAAACTCGGCCAGGTGCAGTGGCTCATGCCAAAGTATAATCACTGCACTTTGGGAGGCTGAGGTGGGCGGATCACCTGAGGTCAGGAGTTCAAGAACAGCCTGGCCAATATGGTGAAACCCTATCTTTACTAAAAATACAAAAATTAGCTGGGGGTGGTAGCATGCACCTGTAGTCCCAGCTACTTGGGAGGCTGAGGCAAGAGAATCACTTGAACCCAGGAGTCGGAGGTTGTGGTGAGCCCAGATCTGCCTGGCAACACAGTGAGACTTCGTTGCAAAACGAAACCAAAAAACCTTCAAACCACATCCTGAATACCATGTGCTTTTCTGAGTCCCAAACTCAAGGTTTGTGTGTGGGAGGTCTGCACCTGCCCACATCACCCAACCTGCCCAGAACCCACTCAGGCTCCAGAGTGTAGGGTGGAAACTCCAGGCACCATTGGAGCTGATAAGAGCCTTGCTCTGCCCTGACCACCCAGAGGCAAGAGAGGCCTCACAACCGGCCCACCCCAAATCCCATGCACTCACTCTTCATGTAGGACTCAGTCATTTCTGTGGCTTCAGCTTCCTTCACCCAGTGTGAACATGGACTTCTTTTCCAATCTGGAATAACCAAAATCACAAGATTTAATTCATAAGCCTCTACAATATTTGAATTTACAGGCAATTACCAATTATCATTAAATGTTCTGTGAACAATTTAAACAAATTTGTTCTGGGGGAAATATCTCTGTCACATTTTCTTTGAACGATTCAGGGAGGACAAAGGGCACCATGATCCTCAACAGTTTCCACCTCTCCTCCATCCCTGAGCACCCAGCAGCCCCTGCCAGCACCTCACCAGCGTACACAGGCTTGTCCACAGTGGCGCCTTGTCACCATCAGCCCCAGCAGGAGTGGCAGCACCTCCACCTAGAGCATCCCCCTCCTCACTGTGAGGAACTGAGCACGGGCACCATGGCTTTCACATATCACATGCCACGCGCCACCACGTGCAACAGTGGTCCCAAAGAATCAAGTCCAGCAAGCGTCCAAGTTCCCTCTGCGTCTACACTACAGGCACACACTCAAGTCAAGTGTCTCAGAAAGCATGATCAGAAGGGCCACAGGCTCACCGTGAGCATGGATGCCACCATCCTGACACTCACATCCTCAGTTCTCTGAAGCTCCCACCAGTCCATTCCTTCCCTTAATCCCCTCCCGTCCACCACTCCTTCCTAACATACTCCAGAGAAAAATGAAGGAGAGTTGCCATGACCATCCCTGATCAGGCAGGGCACCTCCCTGGGTTGTGCACACATGGGTTGGAGACAAAGTAAGAAATCATGGAAATCTTGGTCAGGAGTGATGCCTCACACCTGTAATCCAGCATTTTGGGTGGCCAAGCTCAGGAGTTTGAGCCCAGCCTGGCCAATACGATGAAACTCTGTCTCTACTAAAAACACAAAAATTAGCCGGCGTGGTGGCAGCCACCTTTAGTTGCAGCTACTCAGGAGGCTGAGGCACGAGAATCGCTTGAACTTGGGAAGCGGAGGCTGCAGTGAGCCAAAGACATACTGCACTCCAGCCTGGGCAACAAGCTAGACCCGATCTCAAAAAAAGAGAAAGAGAAATCACAGAAATCTTGAGAGCTGGTGGAATTAAAAATATGTGAAAATTCTACCTCAAAGGGGAAGACTGATCTTGCCAATACTCCAATGACATGAGAGAAAATAATACACCTTTTAAAAAAATGAACCTGCTTGAGGCCAGGAGTTCGGGACCAGCCTGGGCAATATGGGAAGACTCCATCTCTACAAATAAGGCAGAAGTTAGCCAGGTGTGATGGTTATCATCCGTATTCTCAGCTACTCAGGAGGTTGAGGCAGGAGGCTCACCTGAGCCCAGGCTGCAGTGAGCTGTGATCATGCCACTGCACTCCAGCCTAGGCAAGAGTGAGACTGTTTCAAAAACAAACAAGCACTTTGGGAGGCAGAAGCTGGTAAACTGCTTGAGCTCAGAGGTCCAGGACCAGCCTGGCAACATGGCAAAACCCCATCTTTACAAAAAATACAAAAATTAGCTGGGCATGGTAGCACACACCTATAGTCTCAGCTACTCAGGAGGCTGAGGTGGGAGGACTGCTTTAGTCCATGAGGTAGAGGTTGCCATGAGCCAAGATCACACCACTGCACTCCAGCCTGAGTGCAGAGTGAGACACTATCTAAAAAACAAACAGCCAGGCGCAGTGGCTCATGCCTTTAATCCCAACATTTTGGGAGGCCGAGGCGGGTGGATCACTTGAGGCCAGGAGTTTGAGATCAGCCTGGCCAACATGGCGAATCACCATCTCTACTAAAAATACAAAAAAAAAAAAAAAATTAGCCAGTGAGGTGGCTCATGCCTGTAATCCCAGTTACTCAGGAGGCGGAGGTGGCAGAATTGCTTGAACCTGGGAGGTGGCGGTTGAAGTGAACTGAGATTGCACCACTGCACTGCACTGCACTCCAGCCTGGTCAACAGAGCGAGATCCTATCACAAAAAAAAAAAAAAAAAAAAAAGGAGAAGAAAAGAAAAGAAAAACAGGGCCGGGTGCAGTGGCTCATGCCTGTAATCCCAGCACTTTGGGAGGCCGAAGCAGGTGGATCATCTGAGATCAGGAGTTCGAGACCCGCCTGGCCAACATGGCGAAACCCTGTCTCTACAAAAAAAATATATAAAAATTAGCCAGGAATGGTGGCATGCACCTGTAATCCCAGCTACTCAGGAGGCTGAGGCAGGAGAATCGCTTAAATCCAGGAGGTGGAGATTACAGAGAGCCGAAATCGCACCATTGCACTCCAGCCTGGGGGAGAGAGCGAGACTCCGTCTTAATTAAAAAAAGAAACAAACAAACAAAGTATTCCATTTGTGGCACACCAAAGAGAAGAGAAAGATCCCAAGTTGTGGAAGGGTTAAGAGCAGAAGAGGGCAGTAGCTGACAGGCAGGGTAGAAAACCTGTGAAAGTGCCCATAGCACACACTGTCCAGAGACAAGGGCATGCCTGATGTGGAGCATCAGAAGCCAGAGTTCCCAGACCTGAGCTGAGCTGGTGAGGCGGAGAAGCTGGGCTGAGCAACCGGGCTCTGGGACCAGAGGCCGTGCCCTGTGGGTAGCCAGACCTGCCCTGCTCCATCGTCCAGGAAGAAACAGGTGGAACTGACGCCAGTCCACAACTGTGCAATACCCCTTCCAGTGCAGCGGCCACGCTCGCCCAACTCAAACAGAAGTAAACAAAATAAATGAGCGTGCATACTTGGACTTTTCTGCTCCCGGCCCAGGCGAGAATCACAGGAAAACTAAAAAACTGGACAAAACACAAGAAACCACTGTTTCTCAGGACAATGGATATCAGAAAATGAAGGGCAGTGAGCCCTGTGAAGCAGGATATGAGGTGGAGCTCTATAAGAGCTCAGCGCACTGCCTGGAGACAGGACCCAGACCTAGGGCCCAGCAAAACATGTAGGCTAAAGAGATAGAACAGGGAGTGCTGATTGATACCAGGGTGGCTAGAGTATGCAGGCTCTCGTAACGAAGAAAGCACTGCCCAGAGAGAACTTTAGAGACCTGCAGAGGGTTCCCTGGGCACTCAGCAAGTTACTGGTCAGCAGAATCATAGCCCCAAAGATGCTCACACCCTAATCCCCAGAACCAGTGTGTGATCCCTTAACACAGCAAAGGGGATTCAGAAGATGAGATTAAGGGTACAGGCCCTGATACATGGAGATTATCCCGGATTATCTGGGTGAGACCAAACTAATCATGTGAGTCCTTAAAATCAGAGAACCTTTCCCAGGTGGGTTGAAGAGGGAGGAGGAGAAATCTGAGGCATGAGAAGGACTCACCCCACTACTGCTGGCTAGAGGATGGAGGAGGGAGGCTCTGAGACAAGGAGTGCGGGTGGCCTGGAGGAGCTGCGCATGGCCGTCAGCTGCTGGCTGACAAGAAAACAGGGGCTTCCATCCTACAGATACAAAGAACCAAATTCTGCCAGGAACCCAAAACAGCAGAAGCAGATCCTCTCCAGAGGCACCAGAAAGGGAAGGAGCCCCTAATGCCTGGGTTCTAGCTGGTGAGACCCATGTTAGAACTTTCTGGAAATAAATTTGTGTTGCTTATGGGACTAAGTTTGTGGTAATGTGCTATATCAGCACTAGAAAACTAATACAAATGCCTTGTGTGGGAAGAAAGAATCCAAGGCCACAGAAAGAGCCACAGGAAGGGATTAGAAGCAACACCCAGGGCTTCCACGGGGACAGGAATGGTGCCTGCTCCCCGCAGCTGGAGTGGAAAGTGTCATGATTCAGGATTCCGCCTCAGTAATTAACCAAATCAGTCCTAGACTAAACATCATTCTGGTCTCACCTAACAAAGCTAAAAGAAAGGCCTGACAAGATCAAACTCTTCCCAAGTAACTTAGCCAGTTCCCAGGGCAAAGCTCATGATTATTAACAGGAACACAATATCCAGCACCACCAACAAGGCAAAAGCAACGCCAGGCATCCAATCAAAATTTACCAGGCATGCAAAGAAGCAAGAACATCCAACCCATTGTGAAGATGAACCAACCAATACTAACTGATCCAGATATAATACAAAGGAAAGAGTTCAGAGACACAGACATTAGATTGTTATTGGAGGTATTTCATATATTCACAAAACTACAGGAAAGATTAAATATGTTAACACTAGGAGGCTGACAGCAAAAGGATGGGCAAAGAAAAACATGGCTGACATTAGTTACAAGAAAGCTGGAGTCGGCTGGGCACAGTGGCTCATGCCTGTAATCCCAGCACTTTGGGAGGCCAAGATGGATGGATCACCGGAGGTTGGGAGTTCGAGACCAGCCTGGCCAATATGGAGAAACTCCATCTCTACTAAAAATACAAAATTAGCCGGGCATGGTGGTGCATGCCTATAATCCCACCTACTCGGGAGGCTGAGGCAGGAGAATCGCCTGAACTCAGGAGGTGGAGGTTACAGTGAGATCACGCCATCGCACTCCAGTGCGAAACTCGGTCTCAAAAAAAAGAAAGCTGGAGTCATAGTAGACAAACTAGATTTCAGAAATATTAAGTATCCTAAACCCTTTTACCTAATAACAGAGCTTCAAAATACACAAAGCCAAAACTAATAAAAATGCAAAAAAAAAATAGCAAATCCAAATTATAGTACAGATTTCAATATCTCCTTTTTTTTTTTTTTTGACACAATGTTTCGCTTTTGTCACCCTAGCTGGAGTGCAATGGCAGATCTCGGCTCACTGCAACCTCCGCCTCCTGGGTTCAAGTGAGTCTTCTGCTTCAGCCTCCCAAGTAGCTGGGACTACAGGCGCATGCCACCACACCCAGCCAATTTTTGTATTTTTAGTAGAGACAGGGTTTCATCATGTTGGCCAGGCTGGTCTTGAACTCCTGACCTCAGGTGATCCACCTGCCTCGGCCTCTCAAAGTGCCCAGCCCTCTCTGTCTCTGATAGAACAAGTGAACAGAAAATTAGGCCAGGCAGAGTGGCTCACACCTGTACTCCTGGCACTTTGGGAGGCTGAGAGGCAGGTTGATTGTGCAAGGAAAAAAAGAATGCA